TTCCCATCTTCCACACTCCTTATTAAGACAGAAGGGAACACTCATTGCCTATGAAGCTTTTCTAATAACTTCCATTCTATAGGCATGATTCCTAAAATCATGTTGCCTTTAGCACAGTGTGTGTTGTCTGCCTATAATCTCAAAGCTTGGGAGGCTGAAGAACAAGAATTTCTGCATGTTCTAAGTTAGTCTGCACTACATAGTGAATTCCAGGCCATCCCAACTACACAGTGAGATTCTGTCTCAAACAACCAGGAAGATACAACAACAAAAACATGGTTCTCTCCTTGCAGCATCAACATCACTTAGTGTTTAAGAGAAATGTAATGTATCAACTGCATTTAGACCTACTGAATCAGAAATCCTGAGGATGGACCCAGAATCTGCCTTTTTAGTAGCTTTTGAGTAATTCCAATGCATATTTGAGAATGCTGTTTCCATAGAAACTGCTACTATGGCTATCATTAATGACTTGTAGATGTGATAAATAGATTCTCATTTGTCACCACCCATCAGAAGCTGGAGAACACACACCCCTATGTAAACTTGTTTCTGGTTCTGTTGATATCACCTGCTCTTCATTCCCCTTGTCTCCAGAGTCTTCCGTTCATCCTCTCCTGTCTCTTCTAGTCCCCTTAATTCAGATTTTAAGAGAATTTGCAATTGGGTCCCTTCTTTTTAGTCTTTGTATCTTTTTCTGGAAATCCCACACATGCTCCTGGCTAGAGTTATGGCTTCTATGCTGCTCATGTCCAGTTGGATTATCTAGCTTTACTTTTCACTTGGGTGGCTTCATATAAGTTTCAATCACCTCCAGGACATGAATGTTCCTGCAATGTACTGAGTTATAATTCAGGATTTTTTGAAACAGGGTTTCTCTGTGTAGCCCTGACTACCCTGGAACTCACTCTGTAGACCAGGCTGGCTTCAACCTCAGATATCCTCCTGCCTCTGCCTGCTGAGCACTGGGATTAAAGGCATGTGCCATCACTTCCCAGCTAATAAGGCAGCATTACTAAAAGAAAGTCACTATCTACCTCATCTCACACGTATATCTGCTGCATCTCCATTCTACTTTTGCCTGCAGCTGTAGTTTTTCTCAGAAGTAGGGGAGGTTTCTTCTCAACTCTCAATCTTCAAACACCTGTGAAGTGCAAACCCTTTGCCTAAAATTTAACAATTTTATTTAATTTGATTTTTTTGTTTATTCAGAAGGTAGAGTTATGATTAAAAATGAAAGCTAAAGAGACAGGAGAAAATGGGTAGAGGAAAGGAGAGGGAGGGAGAAGGGATAAAGAACAAGAGAGCACAGAGAATGGGAATGAAGGAGCATGAGAGAATAACTACTGTAGCTTATTTTAAAGAACTTTCTGGTTATCAGAGTACTATGAATGTATTATGCATTATTAATGTCCCTGTTTCCAGCATGTTCAAATATGAACTGGATGACCACACAGCAGTGGTTTCAGAATCTCATGAAAGACTGGACTTAGAATCTCAGTGTCTCAACCAACTTTGAGATTCTGTTTCCTTCTGCCATCATTTAAGTCTTCAAGTTTTTCTACTCATCTTCCATTGCTAAGCAAATATTTTAGTCAAAAGTCAGTGTCTCAGATCTCAGATTGGGAGCATGGAGGGAAGGGAGAGGGAGCTAGGAGAAAGAGAAGGGGAGAAGAGGAGGGGTGAGGAAGACATGAGGGAGCAGAAAGGTTGAGTCGGGGGAAGAATAGAGGACAGCAAGATAAGAGGTATCATAATAGAGGGAGACATTATAGGTTTAAAGAGAAATCAGGCACTAGGGAAATGTCTGGAGATCTACAAAGATGACACCAACTAACAATCTAAACAACAGAGGAGAAGCTCCCTTAAATGCCCTTCCCTGATAATGAGATTGATGACTAACTTATATGTCATCCTATAGCCTTCATTCAGCAGCTGGTGGAAGTAGAAGCAGACACCCACAGCTAAACACTGAAATGAATTGGAATCCAGGTGCAGAGAAGGAGGAGTGATGAGCAAAGGGGTCCAGACCTGGCTGGTGAAATCCACAGAAACAGCTGACCTGAACAAGGGAGAGCTCTTGGTCCCCAGACTGATAGCTGGGAAACCAGCATGGGACTGATCCAGACCCCATGAATGTGGGTGTCAGTGAGGAGGCCTCAGAAATCTATGGGGACTTTTGTAGTAGATCAGTACTTATTCCTAGCATAGGCATGGACTTTGGGAGCCCAACCCACATAGAGGGATACTCCCTGAGCCTAGACACATGGGGGTGGACCTAGGCCCTATCCAAAATGATATGAAAGACTCTGAAGACCCCCTATGGAAGGCCTCACCCTCCCTGGGGACCAGAAAGGGTATGGGATAGGTAGGGTATTAGTTGGGGGACAGGGAAGGAGGGGAGGGAGGGGGAACTGGGATTGACACGTAAAACAATCTTGTTTCTAAATCAAATAAAAGTTGGAGGGAAAAACAAGTCAGTGTCTTCCATTTTAGACAGACTTGGTTATGTGTATGGTGCAGTGTGTATATGTATGGGTGTGTATGGATGTGTGATGTGTGATGTGTGTGCAGTGTGTATATGTATGTGGTGTGTGGGTGTGTATTGTGTGATATGTGTGTATGGGTGTGCTCACCTTTCCTCCCACTCCATTGTGTATGTGGTGTGTGGTGTGTAGTGTGTATATATGTATGTGTGTGTGTGTGTGTGTGTGTGTATGGTGTGTATTTATATGTGTGTATGTATGCAATCTGTGTGTATCTGTGTGTGTATGTGCGTGCCCACCTTTCCTCCAACTTCACTGTGTGTGTGTGTGTGTGTGTGTGTGTGTGTGTGTGTGTGTGTGTGTGGTGTGTAGTGTATGTGTGTATTTATATGTGTGTATGTATGTAATCTGTGTGTATCTGTGTGTGCATGTGCGATCTGTGTGTATACCTTTCCTCCCACTCCACTCTTCTTGCACATATATGAGATTCATGAATTCATTCACCCCACATATTAGGTACTGAATGCTGAAAATGTGAAACAGAATGTGCTATCCTTAGATTGCCATGGCATCCTGGTGAGGAGAGAGAATCTCTGCAGTGGGCTGCAGGATGAGGTGATGGGACTAACAGGTACCTGTAGGAGAAAGAAAAGAGGTATCTTTGACCTACTCAGAAAGGCCAATTGTGGGAACTGAGTTTTGAGGTCTGGGTAGGTATTATCCTGGTGAGAGCAAAGAAAGCACTATCCAGAAAGACTACTCTGTAACAATTTGTAAATGCAAGCTGCATGAGGCTTTGGGAGCCATGCGCATTGATATAGACAAGGAGGTTGACTGAAGAAAGTTTATCCAGGTCTTGTTTAAGCCAAGTCTTTTCACTTCATTTTGGCCACAGAGGACAATTTTCTTTCAAATTGTCAGAACAGAGGCAGGAATATAAAATGATCTAAGATAGACAAGAGGTAATTAAAGTTCAGCTAAGGAATGGTAGTGGGCATGAAGAGCATCAAATAGATTCTAGAAATGGCGCAGCACATGCAGAATTCAAGAGGCTGGTAAGAGGAGTGCAGAGTCCAGTATGACCCTGAGGTATAAGTCACACGGCTATGCAAAGAGCGGCACAGAGGTAGAGACTACATTGAGTATAAATGGTTACTTGGTAAATAAAATCAGGACTTGCTAGACTTAGAAGATTATTCTTTAGAAGAAACAAGAAGAGAGTGAGATAAGAGGTGGAAAAGGAGAACATACCCACCTGAGGCTACTTTCACAAATATCCCATGTGGCAATCACTAACAGATAACACTTAGGAACACAGGCTACACACGAAGCACCAGGAACCCCAAATGGTAGAAATGAAGTGTTTTCATTTTACAGAGGTGGAAACAGAGGTGGGGTGGGGTGAGGACCACAAATCTTCACTTTTAAAGTTTCCAGATAATTCTGCCGCTGGCTAAGACTTGAAAACTATCAACATGGGCTTGAGTGTGGTTCAAAACTTCTACCAAAGAGAATTCTATGGTAAGGGAGTGATCTAAATCATGGTGAGTGAAAATGCCATACCTATTGCCTAATGAAAGAGCTGCACAGGGAAATGTTGAAGAATCATATCATAGTTTCTGTGGAAGCTGCTTCTCTTGCCATACTCTGCTGGTACGTACATACTTGAGGACACCCACTGAAGTACATTATCTACCAATCTACACAGACTATAAATAGAATATAAAGAATATATGTTAGATATTCTTTATGTTACATATAGACTATAAAAAGTGGATCTACATATTGAACCACACTGAATTGAATTGCCTTAATGATTTTCAGGGAAACCCAAGGGATCCCTATTTAAGCCATCAATTTTGGCTCAGGGTGAGTAGGTATATAAGACCAATTAAGATTTTTAATTTAGAGGCACCAATGATCGAAAAGTGAAGCTAAGTAGAGGATATCTCTGGCATTCCCCCTTGGCTTCTAATGGAACAACAAGGAAAACAAGCTTTAGAAGGATACAAACTATAGTAAGGACAGTGTTCATCCAATGGTTCTCTTTCCATGCAGAGTGCCATAAGAGCTCTCCAGTGCAATCTGAATATTGTATCAACCAAATGTCACTGATACCAAGAAGTCTCAGCTTTTTGGCAGAGTGACCACTTGCACTTCAAATTCTCACAAACAGTGGAGGGAGAAATTTATGTGGAAAACAACAACTTCTAGGCTAAAATGCCTTCAATTGGCTGGAATTTGGGGCAATCGATTTTTACAGGCAGGCTAAACAAGCAACAACCTCAACACACTTGCAGATACTTTGTGCATGCTCCCAGGTGTGCCGCTGAAGTGGGGCAACTCTGAGAAGAACATTTGCAAATTTTTTTAGGCTAATGTGAAAATGTGATTTTTGGAATGTACTTGATAGTCACTGTATCATCTACCATCTTCCTGGGCTTGTTGATCCTTGTCATTGCTAAGGTATAGTAGTCAGCATGCAACACCACAGGGACAGAGCGAGCTACTAACCTGCTCATGAACTTGTACCGGCGGGGCAGGTAATAGATTTTTCTCCTGGAAGAACAGCAAAAATGAAGCCAGTCGAGAAGAAAACCCATCGTCAGTTACAGTTTGAACTAGCAAGGAAGGAAAGGAGATTGAAGATAGAATCCTGTAAGAGGTGAAGAAGAAAAAACTAAAGAGAGATTAACAGGGGGAAATGTAGTAGGGACACAGGGCAGCACTTTGGGTCGTGACACCTTATGGAACAGTTTCCATTATGATTTCATCCTTTCATTACTGTAATTGTTTCAGAGCTGCATCTGGCCTACAGCACATGAGAAGGCAGCATGATACCTTAGGGAGATAGTGTTTCTCAAGGATTCAGTGGAGGTCCACTTTCATCCCGGGAAATTCAGAGGGCTAGGGGTAACATACATAATTTAACAGACATGCTATTATATTAAGATAATATTTATATAGCAATTTTGGTTTACAGAACACTTTTATCACAGCATTGCTAGTGTTATAAAAACATATATTTCACTTCCAGTACAAAAAAAGATTGTATCAGTAGTCAACTATAAATACCCACATGGGTATAACCACCACCTTACTGTTTACAGCTCAACTAAACAGGAAAAAACACAAGATCCTAGAAAACAAAAACCAAGAACGGGATACAATAAATATCTGCTATGTTGCTTCACTTTAATTTTAATTTTTAAAAATATTTAAATGAGAACTCTGGGTGTGTTTGAGTAGACAGCCTGTGCAGTGGACACCTCATTAAACCCAGTTTCTTTCTGTAGTTAGGTGTCTACAAAGGGATCAATCATGAGATTGAGGCAGCCCTTGTGTATTCTGCATGGCCACTGTGCTACTTTGCTTTTGTAAAGGGGGGACTTTACATATTAAACAATATTTGCCACATTTGGGTTAACAGGTGCAGAGAATACAAAGCCAGAGGTTTGGGCCTGGAAGAAGGAAAGGACAGGTTTTTAAGATATCATATTCTGTATGATTCTATATGATTCCACATGATGACACATATTTATAAGCCTGTATATGAGGAGGTCATAAGCTTTAAACCTTAATTAATAATATGCTGCAATTGATCCATTAACTCTATACAAGCACCCACACTAACATAGATGTTGGTAAGAAAACTGAAGAAGGTGGGTATATGAGACACACTGTACCATAGGCTCAATTTTCTTTAAACCTAAAAATGTCAAAATCAGCCCAATATTTTTAAACCACAAATTTATGGACACAGAGGTACTTAAGAAGCAAGTTTATTAGAAATTTCCCACAAAAAGCTATTCTTACATTTCTTTTTAATAGTTGTAGAGTTCAACAAGAAGGAAACTAAACCTGGGATTTAGAAGTACTGTCCACTGAAAGTAACAAGTCATGTAAGATTCTTTGGAACATTTGGGTTCAACTAACTTGATATCTGTATATGTTCCTAAAGTGGTATGATGGGAAAATTCCTCCTTTGGAAACACAAGTGCCTCGCAAAGCCACATGTAAAACCGAGGACAATACATGCTCATGAAGGTTTGCATGCTTTGGGTTATAACAGGTGATGCCATGCTCAGGTAAAATCATATAAATATTAACGAGGCCAATTACTATCACATATAACGTTATTTTCTCTTCCAACTGTTTTCCTGTAGGAATTTCTACATCTGATAGTAGATTATTATTCAAATTCATTTTTAGTTTACTGCTTGCATCGTAATCTCTTAATGCTGCATAAGAAAACTATTGATGTTACCTGAGGCACAATTTCTCTGCCATGAAATGTACTTGCTGTATATTTTCTATCATGTGAGGTCAGGCCCTTGGGAGATGAAATCCTTCCAAGTTCTACGAGGTCTGGCTTTGTTTTACATCATTCAAGTTTCTGTCTCCTTAGGTTCTTTATCATGGAGGTATGTTCTTGTTAGAAGGGTTGTAAGTTTTAGACGGAAGGGGGGGGACGGGAGGGATGTTAATTTCTATCTAAATGTAATTTAGAGTGCTTTCTTTCCCTTTTGTTCTTAAGCACAATATGGTATCAATCCATATTACATAGTCATTACATTGTCAAGTCTCAGGATTTAATCATTTTATCATAGCCTCTTTTTTTTTTTTTTTTTTTGGTTTTTTGAGACAGGGTTTCTCTGTGTAGCTTTGGAGCCTATCCTGGCACTCGCTCTGGAGACCAGGCTGGCCTTGAACTCATAGAGATCCGCCTGCCTCTGCCTCCTGAGTGCTGGGATTAAAGGTGTGTGCCACTAATGCCTGGCTAGCATAGCTTCTTTCACACAACTTTTTTCCTCCCTATTGTGTATTTGCATGTATGTACAGGACTGTGCTTGTGTGTGTGTGTGTGTGTGTGTGTGTGTGTGTGTGTGTGTGTGTGTGTGTGTGTTTGACCTAGAGTTCTCAGATTTCCTTTTCAACATTTTAAATACAGAAAGAAATCATAAGACCAGAACTACACTTATCTATTTTGAGAATTTCACCTCCAGGAAAACAGATGCTTGAAACCCCCGCCTATATTTTGACTTGATATTGGGACATAAGACCAATAAACAAAGAAAATAAAATGTTCTGAGAGATGTATTACAGGCTTATGAATAGAAATTGGCCTTTTGTAAATCTGTAAACCTGTAAATCTCTCTTTCCTTCTCCCCACCTCCTGCCCTTCTGAGTTTAGCAGACGGCTGGTTTTCATACTTTTAACAGCTACTAAGAAGCAATTTTGTAGAGTTGATACCATCTTGTCTAATTTTTGTCATCTATCTCAGTCTTATTGGCAAGCTGGAAGGTCAAAGCACTTCACACAAATCACTTTTGAACTGTCCTTGGTACTAAATCACTTTGCCTCTCAGCAGATTCTATTGGTGATTCCTCTGACCCCATGCCTCACTCTCCCCACATACATCTTTGCATTTGTAATCTCGGGTTTGCTATCTCATTTTGTTGTTTCTAACAAATGAAGATCACATTTCCTTAACCTACAATGAAGTAAGAATAGACACTGTGAGATGAAGGCAAATTGATCCTTTTAAACAACCTAGCAATCCATACAAAGTAACTTTATTCACCTTGGGACAACTACCAATTATTTTTACATATATAGAGTCTATGACTTCTTTATTTTAAAAGCAGGTTTTTTAAAGGTCATATTTATGAAATTTCTTAAACTTATTTCTTGGAAAAACTGATTTTTTTTCTGGAAGGTACTGTTCAGTACAGACCATGGTATATGATGTCTAGCTGCTCAAAGCAGCAATACACAGAAATTCTAGAAATGACACTTTCAAAATGCAAATGCTACTTGGAAATGCTGCTTGATAGCAGGAAGGAGTCACTGTGGGCACGATGATTGATTTGCATTTTCTAAACATTAGGAAAAATTTCTGCTTTAATGACTTTTCCAGCCTGTACTATGATTTTATTTGTTCTAAGAAACAATGTCATTAGGTTTACAGTGAAGCAGCAGAGGTAGAGAGAGAGAGAGAGAGAGAGAGAGAGAGAGAGAGAGAGAGACAGAGACAGAGACAGCATTCACACCTACCTGAAAGGCATCCTTACATTCATTTGTTCTGCATATCTTCCAAGGACTTCCCATGGGGCATGCAACTTCACAAAGATAATGTCACTATTTATTAGAGAGGACTGAAACAGAAAAAAGAAACTAAATTGAAAAGTATATCCAAATCTCCCCCAGTTTAAATGCAGCTGGAACTTGGAATGTATTGGAGTTTATAATTTGGGGAATTCTTTGGCAATAAACCAGTCCCTTAAAGTGTGCATATATTCATTTAACAAATACGTTCCTGTTTCAAGCACTGGAGAACCAGCTGTGCATAAAAGAAAGAGTGATGCTTATATTCTCCATCAATTTTAAAAAGGGATATATGTCAAAACAGGTTTAAAAAACAGGGATAAATTCAGGCAGTGTGAATACTGTGAAGATGAGATACTGGGAAAGAGTTGTGTGGAGAAGGCACACGTTACGTTACACAAGGGATTGACAGGAGGCCTCCTGTGGATGTGACCTAAGCTGAGACCTGAAGGAGGCAGACACTAGCTGGGAAGAGAGTGTGGATGTGTGCCAAGGTTATGAGCTGAGAAATGAGTGGCTAAGGTGTGTGAAGTAGAGGAGTGATATTAGAGGCTGGGGAAGTGAGCAAAAGACAGTGTGTCGCTCTTCCCACGCTGTTTGTTCTCATTGGTAGAACATAGGGATGCCTTCTTGATTTTAGTGTTCAGAGATAGCTGTGGGTTCTTGGTGGAGAAGAAGTTACAAGGGAGAGGTTTATTGAAAGGAGGGGAGGAAAGTCAGAATATGGCTCAGTGGATAAAGCCCTTGCCATACAAGCATGAGGACTGGAGTTCATGTCCCTAGTACACATATAAAGAGCTGGGTGGTATGACCCCACTGGAATCCCAGCACTGGAGGCAGAGGTGAGTCTGTGAGGTCAGGCAAGAGAACTTGCTTGAGTAACTGAAATGGAAAACTGTCAAGGAATATACCTGATAGCAACCTTTCGTCTCTACACATGCTCACACACGGGAACCCACACACATGCAAACACTCATACAAACATAGAAAGTTATCAAGGAACTCATACAAAGTGGAAAGTTATCAAGGGACATACTGATAGCAACCTTTAGTCTCTGCACATGCTCACACACATGAATCCACACACATGCAAATGCTCAAACAAACATTCCCATACATCACACTCATATCCCCTCCACAAAAGGGCAAAGAAAAGAAGAAATACTCCCATCTGACAAGATAAAAGCAAAAGATGATGATGCAGTGTGGAGATGGAGGTACCAATGAGGTGAGAGATCTAAAGCTGGGCTGGTGCCAGGCAGCCTCTTCCAAGGCCTGCATTGGGTCTTTGGGGGCTTTTCAATTGACAAGTTACTTGGACATGGAAGTAAACTAGAACTTGACACCCTGATAAGAGCCCTACAGATTTTGGTCTTTGCCTATGATCAGAAGGATGTGAACAACCAACTGCAAAATCTTTCTTTGGACTTGGCCTCCCAAAGGGAGAGAGTAATAGGAAGAGGTAGAAGAAATAGTCGGAATGTGTAAGGTGGTCACTTGTTTACCCAGATACTTCATATGCATGCTACATGCCTCTTATACTGTTTTTTAAAAATAATTTAAGAAAGTTAACTTTAACCAGGCCTTCCTAACTCTCTCTGGTGCCAGTTAAGTCCCTATATTCCACCCAGGCCCTGACCACTCTGCCCAAAGTTTCCTCATCTGCCCAACTCCTGGTGCTAATAAGTAAGAGCTCCTTGGATCTTGAATTCTTTTCCCATCCTTCCAGTTTCTTTAACTCCTGATGCTGACTGGTAAGTAGTCCCCAGACCACCACCACTGAACTAACTCAAAATGTTAAAATTCCAGGGCGAAACCAGAAATAGCTTGAGAATCCAAGACATGTCATCTCTAAAAATTATTAATCCCATAATAATAGACCCCAATGAGAATGACCTAGAAGAACTTCCAGACAGAGTTCAAAAGAATGATAATAACTACATTCAAACAGAAGACAAAATTTAAGTCATGGATGAAATGAGGATGTCAATACAAGATATGCAAAGAAAAACCAATCAAGAGAATTGCATGAGAAAAGCCAAACTGAAATGATGCTAGCAATAAAAAACTCAAAAATCCAAATAAAACCCTCAGTGGGAAGAAAGCTTCACCAATAGAATGGGTGGTATAGAAGACAGAATATCAGGACTGGAAGAGAAGACAGAGAAATTACACCACTCTGTAAAGGTCAATGATAAATTTATAAAAATCCACAGGCAAGAAAAGTTCGGAGAGCTAAGGGAAATCAAGAAAAGATATAACCTTTGGAATATGGGCACAGACAAAGGAGCAGAATAACATACCAAAGGCATATAACAGACTTTCAGTAAGACCATGGAGATAAACTACCATACTTAGAGAAACAGATTCCCACCTAGGTGTACCCAGGGTCTGTCCAACTAATCAGAAAAGAATCTCCTCATGACATACTGTAATTAAAGCACTAAAAATATAGGACCAAGGAAGGATATTGAGAGCTAGAGAGGGAAAGGCCAAACTTTTCAGGCCTCACAAAATAATACCTGATTACCCAACAGAAACTTTTAAAGCCAGACAGCCCTGAGAAGAAGTATTTCATGTCCTAAAAGATAACAACTGTCAACTCAGATATTATACCAGCAAACCCATCTATTGCAACTGAAGGAGAGATAAAAACAGATTAAAGGGATTCATGACCACTAAGCCAGCTGTACACAGGATACTAGAATAATTTAGTCTGAAGAAAAAGATAAACACATCAAAGAGGTCATGAGGAATTAATAAATGCCAGGGTAGTTAATCAAAAGAGAGCTAAAAGAACACAACAGAATCAAAAAAGTGACAGGAATTAAATACACATCTATCAGTAATAACTCTGAGTATCAATGGTCTCTGTTCCCCAAATAAAAACACAGGCTATCAGATTCGATCAGAAGATATTATCCATCTTTTTCCCACTTCCAAGAGATAGCCCCATACTATCAACAAGAGACCTTAGGGGTAAGGAGTGGGAAAAGGTACTCCAAGCAGATGAAACTAGGAAACAAGCAATAGACTTCCAACCAAAACTAGGCAGCAGACACCCAGGAAAAACTTACAGGCGAGGACTGAAAAGACTCCAGTAGCCCAGGAAATAAGACAAACCATAAATAGGATCTCATGAAACTCAAGTGTCAGTACAGCAAAGGAAACTGTGAAGTAAATTAATAGGCAGTCCACAGAATAGGAAAAACATCTTTTCAGCTATTTGTGACAGAGGATTAGTGTCTAGAATACACAAAGAATCCCAGAAACTAAGCATTAAGAAAACAACCCAATTAAAAATTGGTGTATGGCACTGAATAGAAAATTCCTTTAAAAAGAAATGCAGATGGCCAGGAAACACTGTAAGAAGTGTTCAGTATCCTTAGTCATCAGGAGAAGGCAAATCAAAGCTACTTGTTTCAAGAGCCCACCTCACTCCTGTCAGAATGTCCACCATCAGGACTACAATAACAATAACTAAGGCCACAAATATGGCAAACAGGGAAGTCTTACACACTGTCAGTGGGACTACAAACTTTGGAAATCAGACACAATGTTTCTAAAAAATATAAAAGAAGTAGAACTTCTGTAGGATCCACCTATTCCATGTCAGGGCAGAGGCCCCCACCAGACTTTATAGCCTACCATGGAGATACCTGTGCATCCTTCATTACTGCTCTATGCGCAATAGCTAGGGAATGGAATCAACCAAGATATCCACTAACATAAATATGGAGAAGAAAATGTGACAAATATACAAATAGAGTATTATTCATCTGTAAAGAAAAAATGAAGTTTATAGGTAAATGGATATAACTTGGAAAAATATGCTGTGTGAGGTAACCCTGGTCCAGAAGGGTAAATTCCATATGTGGATCCTAGTTTCAAATCTTTCATGTTGTGTAGTTAGTTCAGAGAATAAGTAGAAGGCAGGAAAGCAGAGAGGAGCCTCTCATGGAAGGGCATGGTAAGGGGGGAAGAAGGTTATAGATCAAAGAGAAATGGTGGGGAACGTTGAGGGAAGAAACGCTTAAGCAAGGAGGGGAGTGGACTGTGGGGCAGGTGGCAATCTGAGGGAGGAAGGTGGAGACCTAATCCAAAGGGAAGGAGTATAAAAATATGGAATTACACTATCCTATAACCCAAGTAAATTATGTAGAGGGGAGGGAATACTGAGGGTTAGCAGATTAAGAAAGGGTTAAGGTAGGGAGAGGAAGTAGAAGGTAGTGACTGGCTTAATCAAAACCAAGAATATATGAAAAAGCCCATTGAAACTCACTAGTCAATAAGATGATTTCAAAATATAACTTAAAAAAAGTTCAAACAGAACTGACCTGCCTAGGTGGACTATGTCACTTCCAGAAGGCAGAGGTTATTAAATGAGTCACAGTACAAGGCATGGGGATGCCTCTGTAGTTACTGGCTAGGGAGGACCCAGAGGTCTCTAAAACAATACAAGTTATTTCCATTGCCCTTGGTTACCTACCATAATGTCACAGTTAGACCCTATACTGAAAACAAAACACACTTTGTCTATAGGTTACAGAAACATCAATTTCAAACTGATTAGAAAATATTCTCCCTACTTGTAAACTTTCATAGTACTAAAAGAATCTATGCAGGTGCTAGAGGATAAAATGTATCAGTGGTCTTATCCAGTCCTGAACCATGCTACCATACTGACCTGCAGGTAGGATGTACCTGCTGGGCAAGAGGCATGACTCTTATGGGATGACTAACTGATTTTCATTGAATTTGAGACTCTCCACAGCAGAGAATTCCATGTCTGGTACTATAATACTTGTCCAAAACTCATAGTTTGGAAAGTCAGAGGTCCTAGAGTAGAACTTGTTATTGTTACTTTGTTAAATGGCCATGCTGTCAAACTGTCTTGCAAATATTTATGTGTATATGCGTAGACCTGTGCTGCCCCCAACTGTGGTCAGAGAAGCTTCTTTTGCAGTGGAAAACAGTCGGTAGAGATAACTGGACGAAGGGCTGAGAATGAGATACTGGGTGCTCAGCCCTAAAGGAGACTTCTGTACTA